AGTGAAGATAGAGCTAATATTTCAGGCAATTCTAAATTATTATCCTGACAATAGTTTAATATTAAAATCTAAAAATAAACTTTGCCAGGCTCCTGATATCACTCAGGGTGCTCCTTCCAGGCTAGAAGCTTTCAACCTAAAGAAATCACCAGCACTGACACAATCCTTAACCGTTCTCTTATCCAGCCATTAACATCAAGTTCTATCAGGGTGGCTGAAGAAATGGTTCTGGGGCTCTTCTTTCGGACCTTCCATTTCAAATATGGTCTCTAACTATCATTAAGTAGTTGTCAGTTTATTAAGTCTCCATCTTTGGCCTGAAACACTCAAGAATAAAAAAAATGCAGTATAAGGTCCAAATGAATGTGGCCTTAGAATTTATATTAATGTTGCTTCAAATATGAAATATTGCACACATCTTGGTTGCAATAGCAAGGGATCAAAATCAGTAGTCTCTAAGGTTGGGGAGGGAGAATGGCTGGAAATCTGTGCTAAATCTTAAGCAAGGACTTTGCAAGCAGAGAAAATAAAGCTCAATGTCAGTTCACAAGCAAATGTGTTATTTCAAAAAATATAAAACAAGAAATCAAGAAATGGACAGAGCCCAGGAAATGAACCCAAATCTTGTAAAACCCTTCCAACTAGCAAAGATTTATTTCAACTTCACTGGAAACTGAACAAATTAGCAACAGCTTGTGTTTTATGAAATGCTACAAAGAAGCAGTACTATCACTCCAAGTGTTGCTCTGAATAGTGGAACCAGAGAAATTATTGCTATGGATCTTAGTGCATTTAATTTTCTCCCAAGACACAAATGTCCTTGCTGAATCTGTTAAAGGCTAGCTTTTCACATGTCTTGGATTCATTCTTACATTGTCAGTTGTCTATATTCCTACGCAAGACTGCTTTTAAGTTAAAGACCCTAAAAACATTTACCCAGCTCAGGTTATACAAATTTCAAAAACTAGTTAACATTTTTTTTAATTTTAAAAGAGTTTAACAAGTTGAAAAATAAAAGAAAAGCTTCCAGTGGACTGATAAAAATGGCAATAAAGTATTGGTAAAACGGTATTTTTAAAAAGATGTTCCTCTATTAACAAATACATCTGACAATCGTAATTTTTCATGCACCAACAATGAAAGGACAGAAAAAAATACATTTAAAAATGAACTATCAAAAACAGGGGAAATTCAAAATGACGACCCAGCAGCAGCATCCAGGAAAATTATTACAGCAAGGTTACTGCTTACCCAGTCATTTTCTAATTCTAACTGTTCTGTTAGGCTTAAAATGTAAAGTCAGAATCTTTCAGATTTATGATCCCAGGAAATTGGTCATCACTTAGTTACTAAAGAAGTCAACAGTGATCACCTTCTTAGAAGATAAAGGACATTTGAGTTCCCTGGTTGGTGAGGCCCAAAGTCTGCCCTCACAATTACTTGGCTTTTACAAGATAAATCAAGTTTGCATGCAAAGGGGAAAGGGGAGTTTCCTTTTGAGTCTTTAAGAGAACGAGGTAATAGTTTCCTTGCAGCAAACCAATTTTGTCAATCCTTAAAAGCTTTCTATGATACCCAGCCTGGTGTAATCCCAACACTCAGGGGTCTTAGGCTGGAGAAGTGCCTTGAGTTTGAGGCCAGCATGGGCTACACAGCGAGTTCATGATAAGCCTGAACTACAAGGCAAAACCCAGTCTCAAAGGGCAAAAACCAAGAAGAACCAAAACCAAAAAAGCTTTCAGTGACAGAGCCCTAGGCATCCTTCAGGCAAGTTGGTCCCCTCCTTTCAGAGAATTGAATGTGGACAGCTAATGTGCCAAACTCCAAAACCAGGAACCACAAGCCAACTAGGAGATACGGAGCTGATAAACATTTGTGGAATTAAATAAACTAGATCACAGCATGGAAGACTAAATGAGATTTGAAATAAACACTATTCTGCAGTTTAAGGGCAATGCTGGAATATAGAAATAAGGGGCTAAATTTCAAAGTTATTTTAAAACAGGGTCCATCTGCCCTTAACTTGGTTAATCAACACTACATGATACAAAAGAAACAGGAAGAAAAACTGGACTATAAAACTGCAAAGATAATAAACCTTTTTATAAAGTTAGTTTAATTGATTTTTCAAGCAGGTTAATTCTTAAATGTTATTTATACATGTATTTATAGGAATGACTATCGATAAATACATATGAACCAAAAGTAGTAACAAATATGATCCTTCAAACTATTACCATACCTATTGCGCATCCCTCATCCAAAAATCCAAAATGCTCCAAAGTCCAAAACCTTTTCAGCACCAATGATACATCACTTCACACCTGACCTCATGTGACAGAGCCAACCCAAATTGCAAGCGCTGCAAAAATACTGTATAAAATTACCTTTAGGCTATGAGCAAAAAGTGCATAAGTTTCACATTTAAACTTAGGTTGCCTCCCTAAGAGAGCTTATAATGTACATGTATGTATTCTAAACTCTGAATAAATCCACAACACTTCTATTCCCAATCATTTCAGATAAGGTATATTTAATCTGTACTAAAATATATGTCTCTGAAGAAGGCACGATAATCAAATTATTATAATTTAAGGCCAAGGATCCCTTATTGCTTTACATTTGAAAAATGTTAATGAAAGATAATAATGACAGGATTGTGAGTCAACCAACCTGAAGTAAATCATTATAAACAGCTTTATGCAAAAGATAAATTAGGATCATTATACCAAGGTTCACAGTGGGTTTCTCTAACTGTCATTTCTCTTAACCAGAAATATTATTCAAACTACACAAAATTATTCCATATACACACCTCTTAAGGAAAACAAGTTGAAAAAACCCTACATGTGTGTATCTGTCCAGCCACGATAGAGTTCTTGACACGTAGCCAACACACAGGCCCTATCCTCAAGGTCATTCTTATTTTCATCATTTGAAATTAAATCTAGTTCTCCATTGCAAATTCAGAAAGGCATTTGGTTAATTTGCTAGATAAAGGCCCAACCTTTTCTACTTCTGAAGTATATATTTAATACCCAACTTGCCAGCTTATTTATGTGCTTTACAGACATCAACACAGTAGTATGTTGGGCTCCCCCTGTTGGCTAATATTAAAAATAACAATGAATTCCCCAGGGATTGCTTTGAAGTTATGGGGTTCAAAAGTAAGTTGATAATTTTTATATTTAAAAACATGAGTCAAATCAATAGTTGTTAAGCAAAGCTGCCATGCGATGGTCAGATTCCATCACAACAGGAAAAATAAAGGTTGACAAATGACAAATATAAACTGAAGGGCAAAAAATATGCTGAAGCCTTGAAACGCTAAACAATGAATAATTAAAGCCAAAAGCAAAGAACACCAAGAAACAGAGCAACATCCTTTAACTAACACAATGGCATGAAATCAATTCCATTTTAATAGCCCTTAAGGGGGTAAGAATTATTTCCCGGCCTCCAGTGCCAACCTCAAGCTGTTTCCTAAGGAAGCCAAGTAATGGCGATCAACAATGTCTGGAGAATTAATAAAAGAAATTAAGACTAAGAACTATATTAATACAAGTCACAGAGCTATTTATAACAATCTGGAGCCAGTTTCAGAGGAGCTGCAATTTGGCACCTCATATGTGTGTATATATATTATATATAAAATGATCTAGATTAAGCACAGATATTTTATGTATTTCAAAAGATGTGTTCAACTCAAAAAGGAAGCTGGGCAATGGAAGAAGACCATGGACTTACACACACAAATGTGGCTGCACTTGCTGCTCGGGCCCATTTGAGCAAACTCTCTCGGGTATTAGAACTCAAAGATGTGTGCGCACTTGGGCAAGTAACCGCCTGTGGTGTCTGTAAATTGGGCTAATGGGGTTTTTACCAGAATTAATGTGAAGCTTAATTACAGCTGTGCCACTATGGACAGCAGTGTCTGCACAGAGTAGACGCTCGACAAACATCAATCAGTCATTATTAGCCTAAAGAAGCCGAATTCACGCTGAAGTAACCGTCTGCTATCTGAAGTACCACTACAGAAAGACGGAAAGCCCTGCCCTGATTTTACTACTTGTAGAGGAGACCTATCTCCTCCAAAACCGCTCACCTCTTCGAAGGGAGAAGCAACACCAGGTTCCTAGTCTCTGGCCGCCTCTCCTATCCCGTGCCCCTTCCTTGCTCCTCTCCTGTCTCCACGGGGCTGGGACAAGCAGTGTCAACGCCTGGCAGCGCTCACCCGGCGCCAGGCACCGTCCTAGCACCTTGCACGTGTAAGTCATTCAGTCCTCACAGCAACTTCGAGGGGCTGGTACTGCTAAGGAAATGGGGTGATTTTCTTCTACCAGCTTTCTGAGCAGATGAAATCCATTACGTCTTACCCAGAGAAGGTAGCTCCCTACACTAAGTGATTCTAGAAAGTGGGGCAAATGCCCTAATAAGAACAAGTCTGCAAGCAGATTCTTCTAGCGACAGCTCAAGATTTCCAAGTGTGACCGAACCGAGTTAACACATGAAGAGTCTGCTACACACACCGGGGCGCACAGCTAAGTCAGCCCGGAGGGCTGCACCCGAGGTCGCTGCCAGCGCGGAGCGCAGGTCCCTGAGCTGCGGTCTCTGCCTCCGCAATTCACTGCAAACCCACAACAAACCTTTCCCAGGGACGCTGTCACGCGCCCGGAGAGAAGTGGCCAGCGCGCCCCACAGGGTCAGAAGGAACCGCGGAGAGGAAGAGTGAGGGCGTGCGAGGACTCCTCCCTGGCACTGAGCATCGCCGCGAGCGCTGCCCACCACGCGGCCGCTGC